CACACACACACACACACACACACACACACACACACACACACACACACACGCACACACACACTCTCGTAATTGTGACATTTTGTCTCATAATTATGGGATCTATTTCGAGATAATCATATCTTATCTTGCAAGTATGGGATATTTTCTTGTGCTTATAAGATCTGTCTGTCTGTCCGTCTATCCATCTATTATCTTCCACTTATCCGGGATCAGGTCGTGGGGGCAGCAGCCTAAGCAGAGAGACCCAGACTTCCCTCTCCCCAGCCACTTGGGCCAGCTCATCCAGGGAATCCCAAGGCAGTCCTAGGTCAAACGAGAAACATAGTCTCTCCGGCGTGTCCTGGGTCTTCCTCTAGGCCTCCTCCCAGTGGGACATGCCCGGAACGCCTCACAAGGGAGGCGTCCAGGAGGCATCTTAACCAGATGCCTGAGCCACCTCAACTGGCTCCTTCTGATGTGGAGGAGCAGTGGCTCTACTCTGAGTCCCTCCCTGATGACTGAGCTTCTTACTCTATCTCTAAGGGAGAGCCCAGACACCCTGCGYAGGAAACTCATTCCTGCCGCTTGTATCCGTGATCTAGTTCTTTCAGTCACTAACCAAAGGTCGTGTCCATAGATYAGGGTAGGAACGTAGACCGACCAGTAAACCGAGAGCTTCGCCTTCTGGCTCAGCTAACCGAATGAGATCCGGATATCATAATTATAATATAATGACTTTTTTTTCCTTTGATGAATGCAATGCTCTTCCTTAGGTTGCTTCCTCCCTTTTTTTCTTTATTTAAATATGTAAATACCACAAAGAAAAAAAAGGCAAAATAAGCATGTGGTGTAAACTACACATTGCAAATTAGGTTTTCAAAATCAGGCTCTTTTTTTTCCTTCAGCATTTGGTTAAATAAGCAAATACTTGTATATCTCATTTAGATGTAGGAAAACTGTACTCACACAGATAAACACTATAAATTAGACTAATGAGGGAAACTCAACCCACAAAATACATTCAATCCATTGATAAATGTGGGCCAAGGTAATACTATTTAATTCAATACAAGTTCAATTCATTGCATGTTCAGCCTTGACATACAGCGTCATTGTATTAAGCAGCAGACTTAATATTTCTTCATCTAATGCAACAATAAACTTGAATGAAGTATTCCAATTTGATTATATGAAGAATGTGCTCTAATTTTCCTCAGTCACATAATATTCTGTGATTCACCTGTAATTGGAGCTATGCTGGTGCTTTCTCTTCTTTTATGTTTTCCCTTTTCTGCTGAGAGGCAGGTTCACCTGCTTGTTTGGATAATAYAATGAATATTTAGCAATTCATTTTTAAAACAGCACTGACAATCAAATATTGCGTGTCCTCAGGGTTGAAATGTGAAGAATTGATGAATAGCCTAGAAGAAAGGTTACATTTGCATATTTGTTTTAACCACTTAGAATCAAAGTTCATTACCAGATAGGCGATACATAAAACCAACTATGAACCTCTTTAAATTGTTTGAATTTGACCCATAATTCTGATTAAGTAAACTTGACCGATAACTTTGAACAAATAAACTAAGGAAAGCTAGATTAGAGCCAGATACGTTTTACTCTTTTGGTCATTTAGTTAATTTAAAACAAGTAGCATGTAGCTTGACAAAATATGCTCTCACTTATCCTAAATAAAACTGCTCAACTGCTCAAGTGCTATATCTCACTTGTGATTAAATATGCTATCCTAACTAGTTAGTATACTGAGTGCACTATTCCCGTTTCTAATGATGACAATGTATATATATNTTAGACTACAACAGTCCTTAATCATTTGGAGAGAAGAGAAGCACTATCTCTGTGACAGGCCTAAGGAAGAGTGAAGAACCTTCTGCTTTGCAGAGTATTGTGCATCTGCAAAAGTTGTGTTTCCAACAAACATGAAGTAAATATATATATTTGCCTGGTTGCTTGTTGTTCATGGAGATTTGGACTCACAAGCCAATCAACAACTGGGAAATGCTCATGATTGAAATGTTCATGAATCCACAACCAATCAACTGAAACAGACTTCATGGCCTGAGTTTGCTTAAATAGAAAAGATTAAGAGCTGGACAAGTAACCTTTTTAACTAGGTCATCAGACTGGAACATTCTTATTGTCATATTGTCATAGTTATGACAGGTTTTAATCCTTTTGATATGACATGATCATGTTTTTTGGAATCTGTAAAATAACTTTGCATCCATACTGCCAAACCTTTCAAAAGATTCATACGTGTTCAGTCTTTTCCTAGTTGTCCTGTCATGAACTTTAGCCTGCTAGGTGAGGCCTGCAGAGTCTGACATGAAGATCTTGTTTTGTTTTTTTTATATTTTTTTTGCATTTTTTTGCATTTTTTTG